ACTACTGGGATAGCGCATAATCTAGGGCGTAGGGCTGAACACTGTTCAATTTGGAATGAAATGAACTGTTCGGTCGCGTTTGTAAGTAGTTATTCAAGTCAAGCTGGAACAGTTCGTTTTATTAAAAATGAAAAATTAGAGTATCGGATTTGCCTCAAAGTATCTATTCCTTCCAAATTTTTTGCATCCGCTCGTCCATTTCAAATTTGCGATTGATGTGAAATGTCATTTTTTTAGAAATGTTTTGTTAAGAGAAAAAAGCGGTGCACAGTGTAAAAGCGCCGCGACGAGGCCTGGAGTGCACCCCTCTTCCCATCTCTCCCATGTTGCTGTGCTGCTGAACAGTTCGGTGATTGATGAGTGCATTTCGATTTTTTTATGCTTTCAAAGTTTAGTTTCCAGTGTATCATGTCGAATTTTATTGGTAATTTACATTATACGGGCTTCCAATTCGTAGTCTTTCAGTTATGAAGCTTTCAGATAAAGCTGTAGTATGTATTTAGATGGATTCATAGGTTAAGTTAGAACAAAAACTCACGCAGTTTCCTCGGCTTTTTTCCTACCCGTTTTACCGCTGGAAAAATCACCATAATGAAGGCAAAATCATAGGGAACAATCACATTAGTGTTCTGTCGCTGAACAACTGATTATCTGTTCGAAATTTTGACTCTGATTCTTGCGATTTTCGCGAGCTCTTCGCAGCCACTCACATTTCTAAGTGTTTAGTGTGCTCTTTTAAAAGTGTCGTGTTTTCACTACTGTTCACGATGCATGCATTTAACGAGAAGCTCATAGTTGTCTGGTACCTTATGTCTAGTTCCCGGTTAGCTCGCGGCACTGACTCATCACATTGCTCGCAGAACTTTTTTTGGGGGTTGCAATAACTGTGAACGAAAGAAATCAGCAGCATTTCAAGAGAATTGTTCGGCAACTACTTTCTGCAGAGGGAGTTTAGCTGCGGAAGGGAGAGGGTCTGTTAGGTTTGCTAGCGCGTGCGGGAGAGGGGAGGGGGGGAAGGGGAGGGGAGGGGGAGGGGAAGGGGGCGAAGGCAATGTCCAAAGCTTAAATATTTCGGCCAGCAAGTCCATTTTTTCATTTTGTTTTTGCTGTATATTTATGCTTACGTACTTGCCGTTGATTTTTTTTGGTCGGTATGTTGTAAGTATTAACTACTGTGTGTCTCGTTGCTCTAGCAGCACTCGATTTCTCGGAAGCGTTGCTGTCTAATTTGAGCAATAGCAAACAAAGTTTTGCCGCATGACCCGTGAATGATGATTGTTGGCTTGATACCAATTCATGTCGAAGTTTTTTTTTTTTTCACTCAGTGGCTTCTTGATAATAGCGCACCGTCGAGTCATCGATTCTTTTCGACGGAACGCTTGTGTACTTCGCTATCAGCTTGTTTGTAAGCAACTCTCCAGAGGGGGGGGGGGCACTGACAGCCCTGTCAGCGGTTGGTTGCTTTTGGCATTTTCTGTCAGTCGAGCTATTTCCTGAGTGCCTCAGTCTGTCACTGGGAGCGAATATGGAGCACGTACGGGGTGTCCGGCTAATACATCGCTGTTTTGCTGATTCATTTCGAAAATCGGTCGTTGTGTCAAATGCATGTGGCAGCTTGCAAACCATTGATAAAATCGGAGGGGAAAGGGCCTCGTGAGGTAGGTAGTTCAGAGACTCACTGCCCCGGACAGCCGACTTAAT